AACCTGCTCGAAGGAGCTTACGCAGCATGCTGCTTCACGGAGTCACTGGCAACGCAACCTTCTTTGGGTGAGGGATCAAAAAAACTTTTTAGGCATCAAAAAAAAACTTATTTCTAAAGATCAAAAACAACTTATTAGGGATCAAAAAAACTTCTTCTCATTGATTTACTATTAACTAGACCACGGTTGGCCCGAAAGCAGAACATCGCAAGCGAGGTCGGCCCAACGCTGCAGGATGCGTTCTTTTTCCCTACACGAAGCATTTGTGAAGCAAGCGCGAGACAGCACCAGGCAAGGTGCTCTGCGCAAACTGGTCGGTGCAAGTTGGTCTGCGCAAGTTGCTCTACGCAAGTTGCACTGTGCAAGTTGCTCTGCGCAAGTTGCTCCGCGCAAGTTGCTCCGGCAAGTTGGTCCCTGCAAGTGGCTCCCTGCAAGTTGCTCTGTGCAAATTGCGCTCCCTGCAAGTTGCTCTGTGCAAGCTGCTCTGTGCAAGTTGCTCTGTGCAAGTTGCTCTGCGTAAGTTGCTCTGCGCAAGTTGCTCTAGGCAAGGCGCTCTGCGCAAACTGGTCGGTGCAAGTTTGGTCTGCGCAAGTTGCTCTGTGCAACTTGCTCTGCGCAAGTTGCTCTGCGCAAGTTGCTTTAAAATGCAAGTTGCATCTTGCGACGCCCGCCCGCGGACCAGGGAGGAATCGAACCCGCGACCCGCCGGTTCCGGGAGCAGGCGCGCGAACCACGAGACAACTCCCGAGGACCAGTTCGAACAACAAAAGTCGCAAAAAACCTCGAGTTTTTGCACCTCGACCACGCCGATCCCCGCAGAGGGTTGCGCGAGCACCGCAGAAATCGCAAAAAACCTCGAGTTTTTGCACCTCGACCACGCCGATCCCCGCAGAGGGTCGCGCGAGCAGGTTAAACATCGCAAAAACCATGGGTTTTTGCACCTCGACCACGCCGATTCCCGCAGAGGGTCGCGCGAGCAGGTTAAACATCGCAAAAAACCATGGGTTTTTGCACCTCGACCACGCCGATTCCCGCAGAGGGTTGCGCGGGAACTTTAGAAATCGCAAAAAACCTCGAGTTTTTGCACCTCGACCACGCCGATCCCCGCAGAGGGTTGCGCGAGCACCGCAGAAATCGCAAAAAAAACCATGGGTTTTTGCACCTCGACCACGCCGATCCCCGCAAGGGTCGCACGAGCAGGTTAAACATCGCAAAAAACCTCGAGTTTTTGCACCTCGACCACGCCGATCCCCGCAGAGGGTCGATTTTCGTGTAGTGTCGTCGGCACTACCCCGCCGCCCTAAGAAGAGATTTTAACTCCTCGCAAGTCAATTGCACTTGACTCCTTGCACTTGCAACTTGCACTTGACTCCTTGCTTGTTTCAAGGAGTCATTGCAAGGAGTCATTGCAAGGAGTCATTGCAAAGAGTCATTGCAAGGAGTCATGGCAAGAATTCATTGCAAGGAGTCATTGCAAGGAGTCATTGCAAGGAGTCATTGCAAGGAGTCATTGCAAGGTCATTGCAAGGAGTCATGAGAGCCATTGCAAGTTGCAAGGAGCCAAGTGCATGGAGTCAAGTGCAAGTCGCAAGTGCACGGAGTTAAGTGCAAGTTGCAAGTGCAAGGAGCCAAGTGCAAGGAGCCAAGTGCATGGAGTCAAGTGCAAGTTGCAAGTGCATGGAGTCAAG